TAGTTCGGGTTGGGAGGACCTTCAAAGCTCATCCAGTTCCAAGCCCCTGCAATGAGCAGGGACATCTTCCACTAGACCAGGTCCAAGGAGCTCAGTGCTGCTTGATTCCACAGCATGAGGCTGACCTGTCCGGACCTTCGTCTGCTCTGCCCTGTGCTGTTTTCTTCTGCCTTTTGCTTATCTGTATGGTTTTCCACCCACTGCACCCAAAATACCCGCTTCACCCTGCGCTTGCTCTGGGAGTGTGAAGCAATAGTTAAATGTTCGGATGTTCTCTCTCATTTAGACAGAAGAAACAAGTTCAGCTTTGACCATGCATGTTACATTTTAATTTATCTCATGCCAAGAAATACAAAGAAAGTGTATAGGATATACCACATCATCCTGCAGGGAAAGAAACACCCATCAGCAAAGAGAAGCACCCAGCTGCGGTTCCTGATGTGTTCATGCTGTGTGTGAAACGGGGCTCTTCCAGTTTGGCTTCGAAACAGGAGGAGCTGGTGCATGGACGGTGGTTGTGGCAGTGGGGGGATAGACCCTGCGCTTCCATGCAAGGATCGCGTCCTGGGCACCATCTAACACGTGGCATCAGGGTTGCCTTGGTGAATCCTGCACACGTTCCCTTTCTGATGTTTCTTATCCCGGATGGGTATTTATAGGTTCGAATTTTGCTACCTACTGGTGTCAGCAAATGCTTTACAAACATTCCCACTCTGCAAAGGCTGCTTTTCCCCAGCACCCCCTTGGCTTGTGCCCAAGCTTGGGAGTTTTCAGTTCAAACCGAGCGGTCTTCGCCTAAATTAAAGGTTTTCTATCGAAAGAAAAACGACCTTAAATCTGCGATTGCCTCAGCTTGACTGCGCAGCCCTGGCCATGGTCCTGTGACAAGGACCCGAGTGATCGGGTGAGGTTGGGCACACTGGGGATACAAAAGGAATAAGTCATGGGAGCAGCCCAGCGGGTGCATTTCTGCAGCCTCCCCCTGGACTCTGAATGGAAACAGGGGATTAATTTTATCTAAAAGGCAGGATCTGCTCCCCTTGTCTACATGGAGAAGTCTGTATTTGGAAGGGCAGCTACTGCAGGGGTATGTGCTGGAGTCCGGGGCAGGGCCTTGGAGGAGCAGTTTCCCTCCTCCTGGATAACCCCTGTCAGTGAAGCCCAGCAATGGACACCCAACGAGACCCTGTCTGGACTGAGGAAAAGGCAGAGGATGGGGGGGAAGAGCCTGTGAGGCTCGTGCATTGCTCTAGGGGGGAAGCATGTGAAGTACAAACAGGGGACGAATGGGAACGGAGTGAAAAACCCACCAGTAAAATCAGACCCCCATTAGCAAGCAAAGTCTGAAATCAAATCTTCTGTTGCTTTCTCTCCTCCCTTTTGCCTCCTCTGTCGGCACCCGTCCGCGTGTTGCTGTGACCGACTGCTTCCTGCTAGACCTTTCCTGACCATCGGTCACTGCATCCGTAAGAAGCTGGTATGAAACCAAGCTACCTTGTCTGTCTTCCACCTAGCTCTTCTGCGTCACCCCGCAGAGCCCAGCTCTCCCCAAACCCTTGGCAGAGGAGGCCAGGGACACCAGCGATAGAGAGGTGCCACCAGCCACGTGCTCTGCTCAGAGACTCCTTCCCAAGCCGTGCAAGCTGTGTATTTATATCCCACCGGGACCTCACACTTGTCGATCGTAACTCCTACTTCAGCTTACATTTAGAGACGTTTCCCACCTTCTCCAGCTCTTCATCAAGCTATCCTCCTACCAGCTCCACCGCAGGTAAGGCTGCATTGCCATCGCATCGCTTGGATCTCTCACCTCTCTGTCACTAGGGGATAGAGATTGGCCAGACCCTGAGGATTTCATGACTTGTTTTAGTTGCAAACCTGGAAACCTCGATTCTGACGTGCGTGTGTGTGTGTGTGTGTGTGTGTGTGTGTGTGTGTGCAGGGAGGAGGCTGCAGCAGGCAGCAAAGGGCTGTCACAAGTACCAGGCCTTGCTTGTGGGGATGGAGAGGGAAAGTCTCTCCGTGACACAGCTGTGATCGCCCTCCTGCATGCTAAAAACACAGTTAAGGAGTGGAGCGGTTGTGCCTGGATGTGGCAGAATCACAAGGGATGCTGCTGCTCCCCATAGACCAAAAGAGGACCCCTGCCTGCTGCTGGCCCTAGTTTGAAGCGCTGTGATTTACCTCTCACAACACAATAGTAAGTGAGGTGAGTGTCAAGGGTTGGGGCCTCAGCACCTTTTTCTTCATGAATGCAAAAGAGGCAAAGAGGCAGCTGGGCTAGCATAAAACAGTGGGATGTGGAGAGCAAGGATTTAGTGGCAAAATACCAGGCTGCAAAATGTATGGGGAAGCTGGGGGAGAACAGGGAGAGGAGGCTTTCCAGATCATCCTGGGGAAGTTATTTCTCCAGCACTGGAAAGCCAGGATGCAAGGAGGGAAAAGATTGTGTCAGGAGGAGCTGTAGAGGCTTTCCCCTGGATTTGAATGCAGGGTAGGAACACAAAGCTGCATCCAAGAGGGCAGGATCATTGTATCTAATCAGAAAGAAGCTTTTAAAGTGAAAGGCATTTAAATGCACTTTTTCCCTATTTTATTGTAGCTAACAGTGAGGCAAGAAGCAGTGACCTCAGCAGCCCCATGATCCAGGTGAAGACGGGAGGCACAAACCACATTGGGTACAAGCAACAGATCATCACCATGGGGTCTTTTGGGAAAGCTTCTGCCTTCTCCTGCATTCAGGTGAACTCTGATTCCTCAGTGCTTCCCCAGCCTGGGACTTCTGGCAAGGACCATTGCAGCTGCCTCGCAAGGCCCCCTTCTTCCTCCAACTGCAGGTATCCCAATGCGTCCTGAAGCGTGGTGTGTGTTTGCATAGATGCTCTTGGAAAAACCCAGTGTGAAGGAAATGTGCATTCATATGTGGTTTTAATGAGGAGGAGACAGAAACACAGGTTTCCTTATGGAGCTCATGTGACTGAGCAACTTTGCCATCGGTGCAATTAGAGCAGCGTAATGCTAACCCACCTCGTGGGGGGTGGCAGGGTTTAATCCTTTGAACGAGGGAAAGCTCTTTAGATGAAAGGCTTTATATAATGATAAAAGAGCATTTAAATTCTTCCTTAATAAATGTTGGGTGCTCTCAAGTACTATAACTCATTGCGGCAGCTTTCCCTGAATGTCAGCTCTTCCTGCCCAAGGAGGAGCTTGCTCAGCTCTTACCATAAGCTGGATTTTGGCAGCCCAAAGGGCAGAAGATGCACAGATAGGCAGCACTGCCCTTATAGATCTAGGGGAAAACAATGTGTGCTTCCCAGCAAGCAGCTTTTGGATTGGAGTGTTAAAGAAGGAAACGTCTGGGGGGGGTTGATGGGGTTTCATCAACCATAAGGGGAGATGCTGAGTCTCTAAGGAGGGTTTCTGAAGGGATCTGGTGCCAAGGGGCAGCCTGGCAGGGCTGTGAGTGGGAGCTCGCACCCAGCAGCGCTCAGGGGCCCCTGTTTGCTGAGGATCACAAAAAAATGAGCTGCAAAAGAAAGGTGGAGAATTCAGCCCATTTTCAAAGCCAATGCTTTGTAATAGAGCGCCGGCAAAGGGGTGGACGGGTATGGAGCCCAGGAAAAGTGCTGTAGGGATGTGCTATAGCTGTGAATCCCATTTAACACAGGGAAGAAAGGTAACAGCGTGTCTAGGGGACGTGGCTTTCTGCAGTGACTACCATGCAGAGCCATGGGCGTTCTTGTCACCTGTTTGGTTGCTCCTCTTTAAAGTGTTTTCTTCCACTAGGCTTTACTTGAGTTCCGGGGTAACTACAGCGTGGATTTACAGCGCACCCCACGCTGTGCTAACCCCACACGTGCACTCGCATAGTCCAGACAAGAAGCCAGTGCCAAGCAGTTACCATGTGTGAAGTTTCTTATGGGGTGCAGTAGGTTCTCCATGCAGACAAGCCCTCGGGAATGTTTGATTTGGTCTAAGGTTTGGGTTGTTTGGGGTTTTTTCTCCCCAGAAGATTGATTGTTGGGAGCAGAAGTGCCTTGAAGCACCTTGTACCTTGGTGCAGTCCATGTATCTTGGTGCCAGGTTGTCAGCTAGAGCCAACAGAAGGGCCAGGGAGTGCAGCTCTTGGTTGTGTACTTGTGCCCGCAAAGTTCTGATAAAAGAGAGGCTCAGCGAGTGCAGAGCCCATGGACATGGTCAGAAATCACCTACAAAGCCTGAATAAATCACAGGCAATAAAACTTTGCATAGTCCGGGTGGTCAGGTAGAGACCAACCTCAATAACAACCCACAGCACAGACAGGGTGAGGGGGAAGAAGAAGGGATGGAGCTGAATGGAGGCTCGAGGGAGCGTGTTGGGATTGGATCCCAGGGGAAAAAGCATGGTGTGGAAGACATGGCAGAGTGCACAGTACCTACAGGCAGCTTGGGAGGAGCAAAGTCTGTTTTCTTGTTACGTTAAATATAAAACATTAAAAAATAACACTACTTGTGGAACTGACCCCAGCCAGCTCCGGGGGTGCTGGAGACTTCCAGAGATGCAGAGCAGCATGTTAGGGATGGAGGGACAGGACCAGGGCTTTTAAACTCCTCTTTGCCTCTGAAAATCTCCTGGAAAGCCCTAAACTGAAGCCCAAAAGGGTTGGAAAGTGGGGGCTGGATCATGCTGAAGCTTCTGTGTGATGGACATGATGTGACATAAATATGTAAGTGGGTAGAACGGGCTCTCCGTGCCATGATACTGCTGCTACAGATACACCAGGCTCTTTTCTCAGCGCCATGAGTATTAACCTCGCTTTGGGTGCACAGAGAGGGAAACGGGTGGGTTCACAGAGACAGCATTATTTTTCATTCCATTAAAAACCCCACCGCTGGGTCAGGGTGAGGAGGAGCCTGGGGTTCTCATGCAGCAGCATCCTGCTCTCCCAGCTCTGAGATCTGCCCTAAGCGATAAAAGAGCTCATAGGAACAGACATGGAGAACATTCCCAAAGGCATGCAAATGGTCATTGTCTCTTTTTTGTTTGTTTTTTTTTTTTTTCATCAAAAATACAAAAGCACCCACCACATCCTCCAGCTTTTGCTGCAGTTTCGTGCGGAGCAGAGCCGTGGTCCTGCTGCAGCTCTGCTCTTCCCTCCTCCTCCATGGAGCAGCTCTCAGCTCCCGATGGCAGTTTGAGCTTTGGGGTTTTATTTTTATTGTAGAGACAGCATCTGACGATTTAAAAACCAACAACTCCCCATGGATTCAGTGACTTGTGCCAAAATCCTCAGGAGGATTCCTCAGAATGTCCTGTTCTCGCCTTTTAAAAGAAGCTTCCTTCTTGGAACTCCCTTCTCTTGTACTTTAGTTGTCTCCCCACTCCGTGAGTTTTGCTGGAGGGGAATGAGGTAGTGGATTTCCCCTTTCTCCTCTCTGCGTGGCATCCCATGTCCTTTCCCATTCCTTCTGGCGATGTTCGTTATCCCATCACTTGTACAAACTCATTTCCAAGAGGCGATGAAGTAGAAGCATGCGTTCCTTCCGACGGCGCTCCAGAGCAGGCTGTCCAGGGCTGCCCACCTACACTGTGACAATTTTTTGTTGCAAGGCTGAAAGTAAAACCCCCAAAAGGAAAGTTGTCTTCCTCCTCTTCGAGGCATTTGCATGCTTTAAACGTCTTCTAGGAAACTGCAAAATAAAGAGAGTCTTAGGGCACCTTCCAGTAGTCACTGGTGCTTCCCTTATGCACTTGGGTTAGGCTTTGTTCTGAAGTTCCCGTTTGCCTGTGCTGCATGCTGGTCATGATGGGTTGGCAAATGGGTTTGTGTCTGGGAGGCTCCTCAAACATTTTGGGATTGGGCAGGTTGATTTGTGTGCTGAAACCCTTCAGTTTTTACCCCACTATGCTCTTGTAAACCCATCACAGGCTTTGCCGGGGAAAGATCTGTCTCCGGGGGGACCTTGTATGGTCACCATCGTGCAATGGGAAGACTTTCCATTCTGGCCCTTTGAATAGGGTGTGTTGTTACTGCAAGGGCCCTGTTCTCCAAGGTGTTCTGCATCTGTGTTTGCAGTTCATGATGGTCATGATTAGTGTGCTACCACTGCAGCTGGGGTGAGAACTGAGCACCACCTGCCTTAGGGTAGTGGTTGGTGATGGTGGGCATGTGTGTCCTATACAGTGGGTTATAGACCCGGGAGGGTCCTGCTCTAGCTGGGCTGGGGAAAAGAGAAGGAGATGTTACCTCTGATGCTGAGTGAAATGTAGAGCACGATGATGATGGTCCCCAGGACGATGGAGACTACGCTGAGCAGCCTGGCCATGCGCCCGAGTCGCCGTGCTCCATCCAGGTCCCCTTGCTGCCCGCTGTTCCTCGACTGGGGGAAACACAGAAAAAGGCTCTTAAGGGTAGCCTTGGCTGTAGTCCCCAAAATGAGAGGTGATGTGATTCCCCTTGTGAGCCCATGGCTTTGGCAGCCCATGGTCTTGCTGAACTTACATGGCTTGGAGAAGCCCCGCCTTGAGATGCTGTTCTGCTTGTCCTGGATAGGAGCTGGGCTGGCTTGAGTCTGTCTTCTGTTAGAGTGACTAAGAGCGAGTCCCAGCATGGGACAGGAGGCACAGCACAGCCCCAGCCCCTTTCTCTTCCATAGAAAACCCTGGAATTATTAAGTTCGGGTCCCAGAGCAGCTCAATTCTATGGGACTGCACCCCCCAGGGGCACCACTGCCTTTCTGTGCAGGGAAAGCATCCTGCCACCATCATCTTCTGCAAATCCATAATTGAGAAGCAATGTCTATTACAAGTTTAACAGTCACTGACAAGCTGCAAAAGCAAAAGCAGTGACAGACGTTTCCTAAGCAGCATGTGGCCTCTTTGCTGGCTGCTGAACTGAATGTGTGTGTGAGAGGAAGGGGCTTTCATAAAGTGGACACTAACTGCTGGCTTTCATCTTGTGCTGGGATGTGATTTGGTGCCTCTGGTTTACCCTGGATTTCTGCATCAGCATAGATGGGTTGCGTTCACCAGCTCTGTTACTAAATGCAGTCCTCCTACAGTGAGCTCCTGCTCTTATGTGTGCTGTAGGGAGGGAAGGAATAGGCCATGCAGCTTCTCTATTCTGCTTCTAGTTCCATTGTGATTTCCCCTGCTGCTCTTCAGCTCCATTGTGATTTCCCTGCCTGATTTCTTCAGACAGCTCAGTAAAAGCTTTCCTAACTAAAAGAAATGGCTCCCTGGCTGTGGCAGAAATGAGGAATTGGATGGGGAAAGCACTGGAGGGTGCCTGGAAATTACTATGTGTAGACTCATTAAAGGATTAAGAGAGATCCCCAACGGTTGGAGCTAAAACAGGACTTGCCTAGTGCTGGTGTTGGTGGGCCCTGCTGTTGTAGCCAGCTCTCAGTGGGATAAATTGCAGCAATGGCAACCCAGGGTGGATGGAACACACAGCTTGGAAACTGCTTTTCACTGCTCCATCAGGGCTGGCCACCCATGGGCTTGACAGAGATCTAGACCCTGGGGGCAGCTCCAGGGAAGTTAGTGAAGCTTCCTTAGGGAAGGGCTGCTGCTGCCACAGCTGCAAGGCGCTGGATGGTTTGAGCAGATTTGGGCTCATACCCAAAAGGAAAAGACTTAGATTGGATTGAGCATGGGCTCACCCAGACCTTGCCTGGTGCCTGATGGTGCACGAGGGTGATGCTGTGGCCTGACTCCTCCATGCTTTGATGCCAGCTCTTACTGCCCTGTGTTCAGCAGTGCTGCTGACCTGCTGGGCAAGAGAAGCCTCCACCTCTGCCACCCACACACAGCAGCCTGAAGACCAAGCAGAGCTCACCAGATGAAGCACAATACACAGCTGCATGGTAAACTTTCAGAGTAAATGATTAAATAAGGACTGATCTTGCTTCTCGCACTTGTAATTGGCAAATCACTTGGTTCCCAAGTGAAAAATACTGGAAGTAAGAATTCCTTGTGAGGAAGCAGCATCACTGCTGAGAGAAGAGCCCGCAGTGCTCCTTGGCTTGCTTGGAGCGAGCATGCTGGGGCTTCCTGCACTTGGCTAAGGGAGGCCCTAGCACTTAGCAGAAGGGCTCTGAGCTGCACCACGGCGAGGTTATTGTGGTGGAATTACTCACCGTGCGTCAGCATTTGCTGTGTGTGGTAGAGAGGCTGGAGCGCCTCCATCAGCAGAACAGGAGCTCCCTGCTCGGGAAGAGGCAGATAGGAGCAGCGCGGCTCTCCAGGCAGAGAAACCTTCCCGAATTCACATAGTGCCCTTCTGCCTCCCATGAAATCCATTGGGAAAGGGTTTTGGAGGGAGGGGAATCGGATAAGGGGGTTTAAAGTCTATACAGGCAACGTTTTCCACCTTGATCCAGTTGAGGAGTTTGGCAAAACTCCCTTCGACTTCACTGGGGACAGGCTTTTGTGGATACTTTAACTGCCGCGGAGCAGTTACTCTTTCTTTAGAGCTGGTTTTAAGTATTTAATGTTTTTACAGGGGTTAAGTCTTCACCTGTTCCATCCACCTCCAGCCATGCTGCCTTGGCTGAGCCAGGGCTTAGGAAAAGAGGGAAACCAGGAGCAGGCTGCTGGGCTGCCTGCAGGTCCCCCGTGTACCAGCTCCTCCCTTTGGAGTGTGGCTGCTACAACTGGGGAAACAGCTAAGAAAATAAATATGCTACCTAAAAAGAGTTAAAGATGGCAGTACATTGTCCTTGCCCATGGCAGGGGGGTTGGAACTGGATGATCTCAAGGTCCTTTCCAACCCTAACTGTTCTATGAATCTATTAAAACAATCCCACTTTCCTTTCAAAAGAAGTCTGTCTCAGAAATAACTGCACTGGAAATGGTCCCCTCTCAAATGTTTTGAAATGAAATAGGAGGCCCAGCACAGCTCCAGCACTAACTGAGGAATGTCACTGAGGATTCAAATGAACAACTACTTGACTCTATTGCACCATTTCCACTTCATCTTGCTCCCTTTTAGCAGCACCATGACCAAATGGTCTCCAGCCCAGGCTGTGTGCTGGCTGCTGCTCCGCAGTGCTCCGTAGGTGAAGTGCAGCTTTAAAGGCTTCCATGTTCTCGTTTTAGTTTGTATCACCATGTAAATAACATAGCAGAGCCTCAAAGAGGCAGCTGCTTCCACTGCATCCCTGCAGCCGTCCTGCTCCGCTCTCTTGACACCCTCTGTAACACCATCCCCAATGCTGGCACCAAGAGAGCTCAAGACTTTGCTCCTTCTGGTCTCGGCAGCCCGTTTGACAGACCATATCCAAAACCAGCGGGATGCAGCCAAGAGCCAATTCTCATTACAGAACAGGAGGTGACAAAATGAAGCCGGTGAGAGCCGGGGAGGATGCGGTACCCAGGGATTGACAGGATCCCTGCCCTGCTCACTGACAGCTTCCAACGGTGGGGATTCTTTTTTGGGCTCCGTTTTTTTGTAACATGTGTAATATTTTTGCAGGGGGTGGGATAGATTGCCATGAAATCCGCAGCTTCAGCTGTCTTCTAGGGAAAGCACATAAGCTAAGGAATTGGATATATTTATCACTAAAGCCTCTGGAAGTGTTTATTGTTCATTTACCCTGAACAATTCTGAAACATAGATCGGCACCGGCACGGGCTGTTTAGCTAGCTATTGTTACTGTACATGTGTTATTCATTGGTGTGGAACAGTTGGATTTTAGCTCTCTAGTAGCACTAATCCTGTGTTTTGCTTTCCACATAAAAACATTAACATCTTGTTTATTAATCGAGACTCGCCAAGGCAGAATATCCCAGAAAGGCTGGAGGGCTATGGGGGAGTGAGGCGCTGTGGGTGTGCCAAAGGGATTCCCTGTGGTGGTGCAGCAGCAGCAAATCAGTAGGGCACTAGAAGTGGGGCTGGAAGGACAGGCTGCACCACAGCACCTGTGGGGCCAGGTAAGGCTGGGTGACTCAAAAGAGGTATTAATCTGACCTGCGTTCAAACTATTCCCTGTTCAAGCTGCTGCTCTGGAGGTTCTTTTTGTTAATAGATTGCCTAACTTGCCTTGTTGCAAAAGAATGCAATTACTTTTCCATGCTAGTTTACAGGGATGGAGAAGATGGATCGTCACCTCCTCTTCCTCGCAATTGTTTCCAATTTATGAACTGGCTTCAGTTGCACTCTGCTGCCTTCCACCAGTTACTCAGAATAAAACCCTCAACACTTGCCTTGAAGAAAACATTCTAAGAGAGATATAAATCACCATCAGACCTAGAGGACTGTGCCATTTAACATGAATTAATGATAATTAGACTTCTCCCACATCTTTGGGGAATGACAGTACTGATTTGGGATACAAAGTGCCGTGCAGAATTGCCCTCCCTGTTACTGTATGCTGGTTCTGGGTGGATTTACATATTTTTTTCAGTTCATTTAATTTGTTTGGACTTTTGTACACTGATAAGTGACCGGTCTCTTCTTCCCTGAGGTGGCTGCACTTTGGTTGGAAGGCGGAGGGTTTTGATAACAGCCCTACAGTGTGTGTGGTACCCAGCCCTGCCCTGCACTCCTCCAAGATGGGTTCCAAAGCTGCGCTTCCCTTGTGTCCATCAGCCTCACTCTCTGGCTCGGGGAAGGACCCGAACCCCTCGGTGCAGCCAGGTCCTTGCTTGGTCAAGAAAACACATCCAAGTGTCAGTGGAGGAGCCTCCAGGTAACTCATTTCCACAAGACAGCATTATCAGGGCCAGGCTGAGGGCCAGAGCTGATTTTCTTTTTCCACCACTGGCCATAGGCCCTGCTGGGATCTGAGAGCAGCTTTTGAACACTGATTTATGAGACAACCCAAAAGCATTCATTTGCTTTCCTCTCTTGTTACTGCTCATTACTCAGGAAAAATAAGCTTTCATGCGCAAAAAGCATTGACTTAGGAAAGAAAAAGACAATGGCAAAGCTAAAGGAACATCAGCACATTGTGGAAAGTTCCCTCTGCTGCACCAGCCACCGGGAATCACAAAAGCCTGGTTCCTGTTCAGGTCTGGGGGTTGGTTTTATTCTGCAGGGAGACCTAAGCCTGTGGCAGCCTTTGGAGTCACTGGGAATTACATTCCTCCCCCGTGTAAGCATCAGTTGATGCCCCAAGACCTATTTCTGCTGCCTCTGGTCAATGCTGTTACTTGCTTTGGAAGCAGAAGGCAGCCAAGTAGTCTTTCTGCCTTGTTGGTCCTGCCTGCCTTTGGGTTTAACACAGTAAATACACACCAGTGCCTCTCTGTCTAGCTGTATTAACTAACTTCTGCTCTTTCATCACTGTTTATTCTTCTACTCCATGGGGTTTATGTGGCCCACAGCACATCCCCACCGCGCTGGAGGCTGTAACGCCTGCAAGAGAGAGTGTGAGAATCTATTTTGCATGAAGGCTAATGTGGTTGGAAAATCCCCGTGAGAGACCTTGTTTATTACCATGGATATGCAATACCCAGCTGCTTTCCCTCTCGTTGCAGTGCAAAGCCAAACAAGGCTGGCTGGCTTCCCCGTATGCTGCCTAAACAGGCTCCACCACACAACTGTACTAAGCAGATGACAGCTGGCATTGGCAGAAATGATGATTCCTCCTCAAAATGGAAACTGGTCTCTCTAGAGGGCTTTCTGTGGCAACTGCTGGTGTCTGTCCTCAAGTTGGTGGGGGTGGGTTTGGGGGAAATGCTGGCTGTAGGTACCCTTCAGTGTATTTGTGTGGTAAGCAGGGAATTACTTTCCCTGACATGATTTTCAAATAGATTTGTCTCCGTTGTAAATTAAAGGTATAAAAGGTGCCCAGAGGCTGAGCAGCAATGTAAGGGGGTGACTACAGTTGCAGGGCTGTGCTGACTGAGCCACCCTCTACTTGAGATGGGCGAGAGGCTGGCTGGCTTTATCCTCCCCTGCTCTGCTGTTGGTGTATTTGCTGAGGTGGGGACGATATTGAATGGAGAAAATAGCTTCTTCAGGGCACCTAACAGAGGTGCAGGTGCAGCCTGTCGCTTTGAGGTGTCCGAGGAGCCAGCCTCCAGCCAGGGTCTCCCCTGCGCTGCAGGGCTGGGCTCGGCTGCTGGGTGGTGCGGAGGGAGGGAGGGAGATCCCTTGTCCTCGCTTCGCCTCGCAGCTCCTGCCCGGGAAAGCCCAGCGAGTCGCTCTGGACCGCTGCCGGGCGGCAGGGACCGCGCTTTCCTGGGTGCGCCCGCATCCCATCCTCAAATCCCCGCCATCCATCTCCATCCCGTCACCTCCCCGGGAGCTGGCCCCGGTTGGGAAGCCGGTCCCCGCCCGCCTCCCTTCGGCACAGCCATGGAAGCACCGAGCAGCGGCACTGCGCGGCAGAGCCCCCCGCGATCCCGGTTGGGCTGCGGGAGGTGCGCGGGCTCCTCCCGCCCCGCTCCCCGCCGCGTCCCGGTCCCCGCCGGTGCAGCACCGCGGACAGCTCCGGAGCGGCCCCGGCCCCGTCGAGGCGGCGGCAGCGGGAGAGGCTCCGGGCGGGTCCGGGCACACGGCGGGTCCCGCACTCACCATGATGGAGAAGACGAGGCCCACGATGTTGATGGGCCAGACGGGGCAGAAGCAGGAGAAGATGGCGAGCACCAGGTAGTCCCGCGGGCGGCCCTGCTCCGGTGCCGCCGTGCTGGTGGCGATGGAGGAGGCTCTGCCCAGGCTGAGCCGGGACGGCGAGAGCGGAGGCGCCTCCAGGTGCCCGACCGACACCGACTTGTAGGAGAGCCCGTGCCCGTTGCGCTCCGCCTCGCCGGGCAGCGCGGCCGTGAAGGATTTGGAGCCGCGGAGGCCCTTTTCCTCCCGACTCTCAGTCGCCGCCAGCAGCTTCTCGGTCTCCTGGAAGCGGGTGGGCAGCGCCGTGCCCGAGCCCGAGCCGGAGCCCGAGCCCGAGCCGCCGGGCGCGGAGCCGGTGCTCGCCATGGCCCGGCGGAGCGGGCTCCGGGAGCGCCCCGCAGCCGCCGCTCTGCGCCCGGGGCCCGCCGCCCCGCGGGAGGCCGTGCCGGAGGAGGGGCCAGCCCGGTTCAGCCCCCGGGGCAGGATTGGGGCCGCGGACCGCCCCCGGGGTGTCCCCGATCCCCCCCGCCCCTCGGCTGCGCTCAGCCTCCGCCCGGCTCTCTGCCCCCGGGGATGCGGTGGGTGGGGAAGCCGGGGTGTCCCCTGTCGCCTCCAACCGAGGCTCTGCCCCGCCCCACCGATCCCCCGCTCTTCCCGGGGGCTCCCACGGGCTCGGCTCCTCTGCAGCGGAACGTGAGAGCCCAGCCCTAAGCGGGGCGCAGGGCGATGCCGAGGGCAGTTCCGTGCCGGGTGCCGGTGCACACAGCCCTGCTGTTCCTGGGGCTCTACTGGCCGCAAGCCTTTCCTCGGCTGGGTGGGGGACATGCGGCAAAGACCAGAGCCACACACCCGTCATCGCTGCGGAGAGGGGCTAGAGCTGCCCTGTGCCCTTTGCAGGCAGGAGCTGCCCCGGGTGTGATGGTGTCTGGGCAGTCGGTGGGTGCCCGGCGGTACCGCTGGTTCCATCTGCTCTGGGAAAGCATCTCAGGGCGAGAGGAGGTCCTTTGTGAGGAGCTCACCCTGCCCTCGCTTTGTGTGGGTGAGAAAGCGAGAGACACAGAGACTGCAGACACCGACACCAAATCTGTGTGGTCCTGACCTGCAAAGGAGAAAGGGTGCTGGTGCAGGGGTGGGTTACATCCTGCAAAGCAGCTAACAGCATCCTTGGGATCAGGGGGTGCTGTGAGGGGCAGGATGGAGGTATAAATACCCCACATGGGTGGATGGCTGGCAAAGATGGATGTTTTCCACCCTTTCTGTATTACGCATCAGTCCCAGATTTGTCAGGGATTTCCCTGGCAGTAAGTGCCATCTACGGGGCGCACCCAGCACCTTCTGCCTCTCCAAAAGGTGCCTCAGGAGCAGCGGGGTAACCACCAGAGCTGGGGGTAAAACACTTAGATGCGAATTTGGGTGGGGAGAGTGGTTCATTGCGTCAGTTACTGCTGGGTTTCATTTAAACCTTCTTTGAATGACGATACTGCTGTGCTCTCCCTCCCCACGTGATGGGTGCTGACAGAGCAGGGGTATGCGCTACTCCAGGGGGGAGCCAGAGCTGGGAAAGCCACCCAGAGCAGGGATGCTGTTGGAAGAAGCAGGATTCCTTCAGAGGACATCGCAGCAGGCCTTCTCTTGGCAACGGGAACATCTGTTGGATATTAAAGCCAAGATGCCTGACACCGTCAGCACTTTAAAGAGGCTCCTTTGCTGAGCAAAGAGCACTCTCTCCTGGCTGCTGCAAGCTTTCCTCTGCTCATTGCCCAGCTCCCTTGTCCCGCCTGGGGATTAAGGGAAGAGGAGGAGATCCTGGAGAGGGACTGGCACAGGGGAGCGGAGGGTTGAGGTGGTTGTTCCCTCTCATATTCCATGGTTGAAATGTCCCCCGCAGGGAAAGAGCTCAGACTGCCCTCGGTGTGTTGGCAGACAGTGCTGGAGCTCGACTGGGAGCGCTGGGAAAGGAGCAGCAGGGCTGGAGGAGCTCTGTGGGCGCTCAGCACTGCGGGAACGCAAGCAGTGTGATTTGCCCTATCCAAGAACCTGCCGGCTGTGATGTATGTGGCTGTAAAACCCAGCCTGATTCCTGCAGCAATTCCAGTTTGCTGAGCCTCAGGTTGAAGGGAGCCCTCTCAGCACCCCGGCCAGTCCAAGCTTTCTAAGCCAAAAGGAAGGGGCCTTTTTAGGGAAATCCCCCCTTCCTCCCCACTCCTGGGATCATCCGGGAGCATTCTATCAGCCTGTACCACCAGAGCCACTTTGCCACAATCAGAACCTGCAGACAGATGGGTGGGTTTTATGAAAGCCAGCATCTGTCTCCCCTCCCAGCCTCACAAATCTGCTGGGCACATTGGCATCAATGAGCTTAGCAGCCAAAGTCCCAGGGCACCAACCTTCCCCTGGTTCTGCCCCCCTCCTTCCGCAGCGGGAGCCAGAGCAACCAGCCAGCCAGAGGCTTTAGTGTGATCCCCGCAGCCCATCTGTCCACCCCACACACATTAACATCAGTGCTGCAGTGCTGGGTTTATAAGCCATGTTTTCTCACAGAGCAAGCAACAGAGAATAAATAACAGCGACAACCAGCAACGGTGAAACCTCGCAACAGGAAACACGGAGCTGGCACTTCCAGAGGACTTCCCACATTCTCCAGTGTTACCACAGAGCAGAGACCCACAGCAGGGTCCCGTACGGCATGTTGGGGGCTCACAGCTCTTACCAGCAGCACAGCTGAGCCCTGCATCGTGTAGTGCTTTCCTCGCACACAACAGCCCCTTCCCACTCCCCCCCCGACACACACACACCATGTGTCCCGTGGATCCATTACCTTCCCTGCACCATCTCTCCACCCCAGCCCCGTGGGTCAGTGGATGGGGAGGCACTGCTGGTGTCCCCAGCTCTGGCAATAGCCCAGCTGCCAGGGCATGGCCCCGGACAGGGGGTCTTGCAGGCTGCCCGTGTATCTCTGCTGGCAGGCACCTCGCAGCCCAGGGTGGTGGGTCCCGCTGGAGCAATAGGCAGGGATGGGCACGGAGCGATCCTCCTTCAGGCTCTCGTAGTGATGGAGCTGCCTCTCGGGGGAAAACGCAGTGTAGAGAGGGGATGGAGGGCAGCGCTGCAAAGCGGCTGTGGAACCAGGCTCCCATGGGAGCTGGGGATGGCTGGGCTTCACCCCTGGCTCCTGCACAAGGACCCCGGCCCGGCTGCGGCACTCGGAGTGCCAGCAGCACCCGGCACCGTGCAGGGACAGGGACAGAGCCGTGATCCTGTTGATGGCTCGCCGCAGGGTAGCGATTTTAGAAAGCCTTTTGCCCCCGAGGTCGTGTTTGAGGGCCAGCCGCAGGGCGTTGAAGGCTTGGTTGTAGTCCAGGATCCTCTTGCGCTCTCTGACGTTGGCAGCCATCCTCCTGGCTTTGGAGCGCACCGGTCTGCTCCTCTTCCTCACCTTCATCCCTTCGGCATCACCCAGGCAGGTGGCTGCTTCCCTGCGCTGGGAGACCCACAGGCCCTGCCCATAGCACGCCTGGGGTGTGCTCCCTGCTTCCAGCTCCTCTTCCGAGCTGTCGGGCTCTGGCTCTGCGCCTTTCCCCATGACTGCTCCGGACATGGCTGTGCTGAGGGGGAGCAGGAGAGGTGCTGCTGCGGTCCTGCCTCCTGTGGATGTGGGAGGCACTCCTCCAGCCACACGCAGCAGCCTCTAAAAACCCCACCATGGGCTCATCACGTGGCTGCATCCCGACCCTCCTCACCTCACCTGCCTGCAGGTGTGCTCCCTGGCCCAGGGGCACAGGGCGAGTCCGGCCTGGCCTCTGCCTGCAGGGATGCTCCTGAGCATGGTGCTGGGATGGAGCGTGGGGCACCAGTTCTGGGCTGCCCAGAGGCTGCAGTGGGCTGCTCACAGGGGGAAGCACCTCTACCAAGCACACATTGCAGTGGTTGCTTAATCCCTGCTAAGAGTTTGGGCAATGCAGGGGTTCCTTTGCCCCTTTGGCCTCTCCTCTGCTGGGTGAGCCTGCAACAGGGAATTCCTGGGTTTTATACATTGCTGTGGTTCAGAACCAGCCTGGGGCTTGGGCTGTGCTCCCACACACTCACTGCTGCTTCAGCATCTCTCATTTCCCAGCTAGGGGAAACCAAGGCACAGAGTGATGAAGTTGCTGAGGAGAAGACAAAATTGCTCCTGCCCCAGGAACAGGGCTGGAGCATTGAGCTGCTTTTGAGACAGTGCCTTCGAGCTGTTCCACGCAGCTGCACCCCAGGGAGCATCCATGGTGGGCACGGAGGTAGGTGGGTGCCTGGGTAGGAGCAGCCTCTGTGAGCCAGTGGAGGAATGTGGGGGACTTGGCACGCCTCTGCCCTCAGAGCAGGAAGCAGGAATGTGGCAGGGGGGATTGGGGCAGGTGATAAAAGAGCTAAAGTGCTACCTGCCTCCAGAGCCTTCCTGTCCTTTCCCAGCAGAGAGAAGGAGCCTGGGGGCAGAGCTGTCTGGGCTGGTGCTGCTGGGCCTGCCAGGCACTTCCTCTGGGGAAAAGGATGCTGAAAGCAGCTCCTTGTTCTCTGCATCCATCTCCAGGCCAGTGGGACACAAGGACTTGCCAGGTGCAACAGGTCTGGAGGCCATGGGGAGGGCCAGGTCCCTGTCCCCCTGACCATCACGTGTTTGCCCATCATTTCATTAGCGAGCAGCTGCTAAATGCCTTCCTGTGCAAGTGGCAATGCTATGAAAAATGGCCCAGGAGTGGGTCTGACAAATTGTTGGGGTGACTGGTGCCAAACCAAAGCCCTGGGAGAATGTGCCCCTCTCGATTCATCCCTTCCTATCCTATTGTCCCTGTTCACATTCGATCAATAGCCACAATTAGTGGGGGGCTATTTGTCTATTGCCCTTCTCCTCTCTTGGCTCTTTGAAGTTGGAGCTAATTTAGGTGCCTCTGCTCCAGGAACCCAATAAATCAGGAGCCAGGGCCTCGGGGATAGGGGAGGACCAGGCAGCGGGACTTCAAAGGGAAGTGAAGCTTGCACATATTTCTGAGCACTCACCTGTGCTCACTATGGCTCCCTTGTTCTCCCCAGCAGCCCTCTGGCTGCCCAGTCTTGCTCTGCCCAGGAGTGGATGCTCCTCCAGCCACTGACTTACCCACTGAGCTCAGGTCAGGAGCAAGGAGCTCTTTGGGATGCTTGAATGCCGGCAGGATGTGCATGCCAGTTCCACTTAGGGGTATGCCTGTCCAAAACCCAGCTATGCAAGATGTATCCCTGCCATGGGGATGGGTTTGATGAAGGCAGGAGGTGTGGTACAGAGCAGACATGGAGAGGACTGATCTGGGCACAAATCCAGTCTCTGCTTGGGCAGAGGCAGGTGCAGAGAGCAGGCAGCAGTGCTGAGGCTGCCCCATCCTGCACAAAGCCCCTATGAAACGCTGCTGGGGATTCCCAGCATCTTGGCTTTTGGGATTCAGCCCCAGCTCTCGGAAGCGGGCAAGGGCAGACCATAAATCACTGGCCATGGGATGCCACCCGCTGCCTGTAATTAGTGCATCCCGTTGGGCTGTCCCCACCTCATCCTGGATGCTTCCTACCTAGGTGCCCATTACAGGGTGGGAGGCCAGCAGGAACGCCCACCCAGGCCCTGCTCCCTCGGCCCCCACTGATTTATTGCCATGCGCTGGAGAGATTTATGGGCTGAGATGGGGAGCCAGAAATGTGCTGTAAAGGCTCTGCCGGGCCCTTCTGCCTGACAGATGATGAAAGAGCTGTAATTATCCGTCGCCATGCATAAATCAGGCCACTCACGGCACCCGCCTGCCTCCTCCCCAGCCTCCACAGAGGGGTTTGACCCCCGGGGATACCCCACCTCCCCAGCACATGTCACTGGGGCACTGCTGACTGGTGGGTGCTTGCCCATCCTGGGCAGCATCTTCACATGCTCATGGGTCCCACAGACCAGAGGCCTGGTTTGGGTGTCTTCACCCCCAGTGCTACTGCTGAGGGGGGTGGCTGCAGCCCAGGCAAAGAGCCCTGGACTGGCTGCTTCTCACCCACATCCACCCAGCACCCCCAAACTGCTGCTGCTTCCCAATGACAGCTGATGGGGCCACTGGGAGATGAACAGCACTCACTGGAGGTGAAACGTTGATGGGGTAGTGAGAAGGCAGCCAATATGTGCTGGGGGCTGCCTGGCTCCTGGCAGTGTCCCAACACCATCCATCCTCCTCGGGGAGGCTGCACCTTGGGAAGGGAAACACAGCTGTGCTGGAGGGGCAACACGGAGAGGGAGCTGGTGGTGCTGAGGCATGAGAGCCAGGAACTGGGTTCTAGGTAGATGCTCACCCTTTGTGCTGGCCCCTACTCTTGGGTGGTGATGGAGGAGAAGGAAGAGGCAGTTGTGACACTGCCTGCACCCTGTGGGTGAATAAATAGGGTGCTTTGTTCTTGCTGGGGCAGGGCCAGGTGGCACAAGAGACACAGGCTTGTGAGTCAGCCACAGCCAGCCATCGTGCAGTGCATGGGAGGAGGCAGAGGAAGGCTGCACTGCCTGAAGGCTCCTGCCTCTGCCCCTGGCACCCTTCGAGGTCTGTGCCCCAGTTGCACGGCAGGAAGAAACCACTGAGGGTTGGAAAGCTTCATCCTGTGGGGTGGCACCGAGCCGGACACACGTGTTGGCCTGGCAGCTGAAATGCAGCAGGCACACACACCGTGACAGAGAGTGGGCAAAAAGCCTCACGTGGGCCTTCATCACCCTCCACAGGAGTTTGTGTCCATCCTGAGGCCAACAGGGCAGGCAGAGCATCACTGGTCATAGGATGATGGCCAGCAGATGCGCACACGGTGGCTGGCGAAGGGCAGCTCAGTGGCTCAGCAGCTACCCCGCGCCTTCAAGGCTCAGTTGCTGCTGGCTCGGGGAGCGGTTTCTCGCAGCATGTGGGATTATTTGTGCCATTCGCTGTCGCTCCGTTGGCTGCTCTGCCGCTGCCGCCCCAGGCGCACAGCATCCTCGCGGCTCCTGCGGGAGGTGCGGGTGGAGGAACCGATCATCCAAACAGCCGGGAACGCAGCACTGCCCCGGCTCGGGCTCCCCACCTCCGTCCCCTATGAAGCCCGCTTGGGACGCTCCAGGGACAGAGCGGCGGAGGTAACCGGTGACCGCCCGCTCCCTCCACCGCCGGCGGCCGGAGCCGAGCCGGGGGCGGTGTCCGCGCTGCTCCCCGCCCCGGCAGGGCCGGGCCGAGGCGGGGCGGGCCGGGGGCGGACCCCGACGTCAGGCCCCGCGGCGGCGGCGGCGGAGGGGGGCGGAAGGCGGCGGTAGCGGTGCCGGGGGGAAACTTCGGTCCGGGGCGGGGATGGCGGCGGGCGAGGCGGCCCGGGCGGACTTCGCTCGGCACTGGCAGGCGGAGTTCCCCGGGGAGCCCGCGCCCCGAATGGAGCTGGGCTCGGTGCGGGCCATGGAGCGGGAGCTGGAGCGCTGCCGCCGCCACCTGCGCCGCCTGCAGCGGGCGCTGGCCGAGGAGCGGTTCAAGGTGGGGTACCTGGAGGCGGCGCTGGCCCGGGCTCCCCCCCCACCGCCGCCCCTGCCCGATGCCCCCCGCACGACGCCCGGCCCCGGCGGCGCGGCCGCGGGCAGCTCCCCGGAGGGAGGCAGCGGCGGCAGCTCGGACGCGGAGGACGCCTCCTCGGCAGGTGGGTGCCGCGGGGGCCGTGCCCGCCCTGCTGCGGGGCATCCCCCGACACGTACTGGGGTGTTCCCAGCCCCAGCGCCATGGGCAAGGGCATCCCCAGCCCTGCTGCTGTCCACCCTGAGCTCCCGCGCCGTGCCTAAGGCGCAGTCAAGGGCACAGCGTGCCGCTCCATCCCCATTTCCCCATACCGTGCCACGCTGCTGCTGAGGTCATCCCAAGGGCCTGTGTTGTCCCTGTCACACAACCACTGCACCCCATGCTGTGGCATGGCAGAGGATCTGACGGTCTCTCCAGGCTGTCCCCATTACACAGCCAGGGGGATCCCTTGTCATTGCATGGTTGAGGTCACCCCAAGCCCTTGTGCCATCCCCATCAAACATCTAATGCCACCTGCAGCCCTTGTGCTGTCCCCATCCCACCATTAAGGTCACCCCAAAAGCTCCTGTGTCATCCCTGTCCCACTTCCAAGGACACCCCGTGCCGAGGCCTCATCCTTGTGCATGTGAGGACGGAGCATGGCCATCCTCTATAGCAGGCTTTTGATGATGTGCTACTGGCCCAGGAGCCACCTCTGGGGCTGGGACACTGGGAGAGTCACTTTCTCAAGGTGTGACCTGGCTCATGGGGACACCTCTGCTCAGGTGACACCCTGTGACCTCCCATGGGGAAGTCCTGGAGCAGCTGAAGCAGCAGCATGCCGGGGTGATGAGGTGTCCCGGGGCGTTCCACTGGGTGGATTGAGGACGATGTTGTTTTGCAAGTGACTGGCTGTTTGTGGCACTGAAGGCGCAGCCGGTGAGTGCTGTCACCCATCACACTGTCCTACTTCCAGCGGCCTGCAAGTTGTTATTGCATCAGCTTTAAACCAGGTTCAGGTGCTGTGCTGACAGCTAGAGAATGTCACTTCTTACATTGCTAATTCTGCAGCTGA